GTTTCGGCCTCACCTAAGGTTCTGCTAACGTAATAAATTGGAAATTGCTTACCTTGTTCTTCCCAAACTAGGACTCCACTTAACGCTATTTATGATACTACAAAATACAAGTATAGTTGTTCGTCTGCCCTCTGCATGTGAAGCAATGGTGGGCTCGATAGATATTGTTTAAGTTCTTCCAAGGCCTGTTGGTATTCCGGGGTCCATGCGAAGTTGTTTTTCTTCTTTAGTAACGATAAATATCGATGGCTCTTATCGGAGGACCTCGAGATGAATCGTCCCTGGGCGGGACTACACCCGATTAGCCTTTGTACGACCTTCACATTGTCCACTACCGTGATATCCTCGATAGCTTTGAGCTTGTCGGGGTTGATCTCAATTCCTCGGTTGGATACCATGAACTTGAGAAATTTACCTGATCCGGCTCCAAACGCGCATTTTTCCGGATTCAACTTCATGTTGTACTTCTTCGATATACTGAAGGTTTCCTGCAAATGCTTTAAATGGTCCTCTGCTCGCAGGGACTTAACTAACATATCGTCAATGTAAACTTCCATGGAAGTCCCTATTTGTTCTTCAAACATCCGATTTACTAGGAATTGGTAAGCGGCATCGGCATTTTTTAATCCAAACGGCATTACGTTATAGCAGTACGTGCCATACTTAGTGATGAAAGAGATCTTTTCTTGATCATCCGGGTTCATTCGTATTTGGTTGTACCCGGAATAGGCATCGAGAAAACTGAGGATCTCGTGGCCGGCCGTGGCATTGATCATGCGATCGATTTTAGGCAAAGGGAAAGAGTCCTTGGGACATGCCTTATTTAAATATTTATAATCCACACACATTCTCAGTTTGTTCCCTTTTTAGGGACTACTACTCCGTTTGCTAACCATTCCGTGTATTTGACTTCCCGGATGGAACCTATTTTAAGGAGTTTAGTTACCTCGTCCTTGATGAAAGCATGCTTGATCTCGGACTGGGGTCTCCTTTTCTGCTTGACCGGATGGAATTTCGGGTCCAGGCTCAGCTTGTGAGTGGTGATCTCCAGTGGGATCCCTTTCATGTCGAGATGGGACCAAGCAAAACAATCCATGTTAGCTATAAGAAATTGAATGAGTTTTTTCCTGAGCTCTGGAGTTAACCCCGTACCCAGGTATACCTTCCGATCGGGTCGATATTCAATCAGTATGACCTGCTCCAGCTCTTCAAGCATTGATTTGGTAGCGTGTGAATCATCAGGGACTATAAAGGATCGAGGAACCCCGTAATCATCGTCTTCGTCGATCCCCTGCTTGTCCGGTTGGGCCGAGGCCGGCATCGGTGATTACTATTTGGCTTCCTATTTTTCTTTCGAACCTGGCTCTTTGCCGATGAGAGTGTTGATATCAGAATTACTTCATCGACAACAAGCATCTCCTTTGCGGCGGGTTGCTCCTCGTAGATCATTTTAATCCCCTCTAGTGTTGGGAATTTTAACACCTGGTAAAGGGTCGAGGGCACAACCCTCATGTTGTGGATCCATGATCTCCCGAACAGGGCGTTGTACCTCATATCTCCTTCGATCACATAACACTTGGTCTCCTAGATGGTTCCGACTGCGTTTACCGGTAAAGTTATTTCTCCCTTAGTAGTTTCCCAATCCATGTTAAATCTGTTTAGCACTCCGGCTGCAGGCACGATTTGGTCTTGTAGGCCGAGTTGTTCTACGACCCTTGATCGAATGATGTTGGACGAGCTACCTGGATCAATTAACATACATTTAACTCGAGATTTATTCATGAGTGCAGATATTACCAGTGCATCGTTATGGGGCTGCATGATTCCCTCTGCGTTCTCATCGTTGAAAGAGAAAGTTCCTTCTGGTATATAATCTCGAGTCCGTTTCTCCCTCGTGATGGATACTTTGGTGCGTTTTAACATTGGACCTTGAGGAACATCGACACCTCCGATGATTATATGAATGACGTATTGAGGTTCTTCTTGCTCGGTTTGTTTATTGGAGTCCCTGTTTATGAAATGATTCTTGGCTAGGTCGCACCGAAATTCCTGAAGGTGCTCGTTGTGGAATAACCTGGCTACTTCTTCTCTCAATTGTCGACAATCTTCCGTTCTGTGGCCATGAGTGCCATGATATTTGCACATTTGGTTGGGATCTCTTTGGGCTGGATCTGTTTGTAAAGGTCGAGGACATTTGGTATCCTTGATGCATCCGATAGCCGATACGATGGTAGTCGCATCAATATTAAAGTTGTATTTTGATAATCGTGGTGCTTCTTTATGTCCCATAGGCCTGTCAAAGCCGTTCTTGCTCATGAGCCCTCGAGAGCTCTGACCTCGATCGCTTCTCCTTTTATTTTGCACAGAACTTCGCCCAGACCTCGATGCTTCTACGATCTACATTATATGGCTGGTACCGATCTCTGTTCAACCTCGGTTCTCGGTCAATATCTCTCTTGATTCTATCGACGGGTCTGACAAGATAAACGGACCCGGAAGGAGTCCCAAGTTGATCGTCTTCGACCCTGATCTTTGATTGGTACCGATTATGTACATAGACCCAAGTAACAGCCGAGTATTATATCAGATTCTGTTTCAACTACTGCGAAGCCACCGAGCTTCGAACATTGAGTCCTTGGGTGAAGGCTTGGACAACCTAATAATCAGCGACCGGTGGTAGGTCCATCCGTTCCATTTGGAATCGAGATACGAATTCTCTGAGCATTCGTTATCCTTCTGCCTTACCTTGAAAAGGTCCGAATTCCTGGTCTCAACCTTGATGGCCCTGGCGTGTGCCTTTACGAAAGAATCTGCAAGCATAACAAATGAGTCAACAGAATTAGGTAATAAATTGTGATACCATATCATAGCTCCCTTTGACAGGGTCTCTTCGAATTTCTTTAGTAAGATAGATTCGATCTCGTCATCCTGTATATCATTCCCTTTGATAGCACATGTGTAAGAGGTGACATGCTCGTTCGGATCGATCGTCCTATTGTATTTAGGAATCTCGGGCATGTGGAACTTGTTGGGTATCGTCTTTGGAGCCGCACTCGGAGGGTAAGGTTTTTGTACAAACTTCTTGGAACCCAAGTCTTTAAATGTCGGAGGCTCTTCCAGGATCTGGTCGACCCTAGAAATGTAGGTCTCTACCTTTTTGTCGTTTTCTTCGAATTTCGTTTCCCCTAATTCTATTCGTTTTGTCGGCTCTTCGAGCATCTTTATGATTTTGGGGTTGTTACCCGACTCGCTCCCATTCGACCTTTATGTGACCGGTTCCTCCCTGCGATTGATCTCACGAGATGGATCGGGCTTGATCCTGATCGATACGCGGCTCTGGTTTTGTAGCAGAGCTATTGCCACCTGTTGAGCCTGCAATATTTCGAAGATTATCCGCAGATTGACCCCGTCTCCTTCATTATTTTGAGTATTCTATGCCATTAGCTGGGCTCCACCACGGATGCTTGTCACACCTCCTTTTTTACTACTACACCCTCGGAAGGGTATAATAATAAGGGAGTTATTTCCAACTTGAAGTGACAATTGAAACGGGATTTATTTAAAAGATTCAGAGTCGCCACTTGAGAGATTTATGGTGTCCCAAGTCACCTGTTGAATCCCGAATCGAGGAAAAGCATGACTCTGTTTAACAGTCCGTGAACCAGAAAATCCGAGTAAGGAATTCTGTTAACCCGGGAGAAGGTGTTAGGCATTCCCGGGTTTCGTGGTTCTAGCACGGTCGCTCAACTGTCATATTCGGCTTGAATTATCTGATTTTAAACAATTATGAACCTATGTGCAAATTTTAACTTTTTAACCGCTTTTATTCATATTTTTTTAAAGAAGAATGCAACGTCGTTAAAACACGTCTCGAACCACGTCACATAAATGCACCCGTGATTTTTGACATATTTTAACTCCGTTGGGATTTGGATTTTGGTCACATAAATGTGCACCCGAGTTTAGGAAAGTAGATTATTAAATAGCGCCTAAAGTAACTACGCGTTTGCACTTTGTGAGGGCCATGGAATTTGCTAAATGGCACGTCCCGAGCTCTAAATATTTTAAAGAACTAATTAAAGAGGGCCACGCAATTGTCATTTTGGTTGGGCGTGGCGCACCTCAATTCTAATAAAAAAAACTCCTAAACTAGCTCATGAGGACTATAACTTTGGGGATTTATTTGAGGATCGAGTGATAGAATTAATCGCTAAAATTATGTACATGATTGATTCTATGACAGAATGCTTCAAACTTACCAATATTTGTCAATTGGGTTGCTAATAGGAGAAAGACGAAAAGATTAGCTCACAGGATTCAGAAACAACCAAAAAAATATCAAAAGCAATTTTCTCAAGGTCCAATAGATAAATCAACTGTATTTCAGTAGCTAGCCACCTAACACTCCGTCAATCCCATTTTTACAATTTTTACCAAACTAAGAAGACAATATTAAGAGTAAATCACGAAAGAGAACTACGATCCACAACACGAATTAGGACTTGATGGACTGAGTACAACATACCGCTAAACGATCCAAACCAACTATTACAATCAATGCGAGTCACAGAATCAAATCGTCCCATTTCAAAGTTTAACTAAAGAACAATAACGAAGCTGAAAATCTGATAATCACTCTCAATAGGAAACAAAGATTGTACGACAGCTCTACGACAATTAAACAGGGCAGACTCTAATAGAAAACAAGTTAGTCACAATTGTATCAACTTGAACAATGGCAATATATATATATATATATATATATATATATATTTCAGTTTTCTTTACTTTGAAGAGCACGAAACAGTAAGAATCAAGCACAAACAGTCTCGTCAAACGCAGAACTAACTCAGAAACGGATACTCAAACACGAACCCATTGAACAATAACTATTAGGATCCTGCAATTTGACGATTTTTCTTTAAGTCCCCAGACCCAACGTCGCTGCTCTTACCACATTTCAATTGGACAGAATTAGAACAAAAGAATCAGAAACGAACCTGAATGCGCGTTAATTTCGATTATGTCTTGAAGTGAATACAAGCAGAGGAGGGAACGTTTAACAGTGAGTTCCAAAAGACCAGAAACAGCTAGTGAAATCCCTAATTAAATTGGAACCGCGACCGGAATCTACGATGACCAGCAACGACGACAAAATCGAACCAAAACTCGAACGGAATTGCGAGCCACCGTCGAATCGGCAACCAAAATCAGCAGACTTCCAGACCTCAAACAAACACCATGGATTTTTGAATCCAAAACCAAAATCAAGTGAAGAAAACAGAAGCTCTTTTATATATGCACATATATATTTTCGATTTTTGCATTTTGCCGTTTCTGTTTCGTTCTTTGTTTTCCGTTACTCCGTTCTCTCTTGCCCGATCGTGTGTGTCTCTTTTTGGGTTGGGGTGTAGCTGGAGCGTGGGTCTGGTCGTTTGGGATGGTTGAAGGAGGTAGGGGTCGTTCGTTTCAGGGCTGTGGGGTTCGAAGACGATGATCTGGGGGGGGGGGGGGGCGGTCTGTTCTCTTCACTGTTGCGGCCTGTACTCTGCGGCTCTCCCCTCTTTTAGTCTTTTTTTTTTTGCCCCCCTTTTCAGTGTATATCTTACCCTTTTTTTTATAATGTGTATTTAGGGGTCGTTTGGTTGTCGGTTAGAGTTATGCAAGTATTAGTTATACATGTATTAGTTATGCAGGGATAAGTAATGCAGGGATTAGTTATGCAGGTATTAGTTATGCAGAGATTATTTTTTTGAATGTTTGGTTTGTTGTATTAGAAATTGATATACATTATATAAATTTTAAAGTAAAATGCTTGTCTACAACTATACCCCTGGCCTTCTTTTGCATTGTTTTTTCTTCTTTTCCAGTTATGTAGGAAAAACAATTTAGTTAGTAACTTTGGGTGTTACTTTCACTTCTTCGTCATACTACTGAACTATGTGAAGTTTAGACATATTTGATTTTCACTTCTTAGTTTTGGTATTTCCATTTTCTAGTGGCTTCTCTAGTTTGCTTTTGCTAGTTTGTTCTTTAAAAAATGAGAGAAGACAAGATATATAGTTGGCAAGTGAAAGCAAGTGTAAACCTGTTGACGGGTTGGCGGAGAAATAAGGGAAGCCTTATGTGTAAAGTGATAGGGGTAAATTTGTCATTTCAGTATTTTATCCATGTATTACTAATACATGTATTAGTTATTCTATCTTCTACCCCGCATAAAATAATACACAGATTGACTCATAACTTATACATGTATTATTTATGCATAATTGAAAAATGTCAACCAAACATGGTATTAGTTATGCAGAATTTTATACATATTAACTATTGCCTACCAAACATGGTATAAGTTATGTTACCCCTTATACATGAATAACCTTTCTTCTAACCAGCTACCAAACGACCTCTTAGGGTATAGGGAGGGGAAGGGCTAATGGGTCAACGGTCTGGACTGGGTAGGTATAGGGTAATTGGGCCATTGTATTTGTTCTTTGGGGTGGCTATGGCTGTCCAACGGGACGGGACGGGACGGGACGGGACGATTTTAACGGGACGGGACGAGTTTTAGGGGGGACGGTGGCGGGACGGGACGAAACGGGACGGGACAAACGGGACGAAACGGTCGTCCCGTCCCGTCCCGCCAACCAAACGGGACGGGACGGGACTGGGCGGGACGGGACGGGACGGGTCGCGGGACGGGACGCGGGCCTTAGTGTATTTTAAAAAAAAAAAAAATTCTAATTTTTTGAAAATTACTATGTTTTTAAAGTTTGCAACGGCTAGATTTTTGACTTATTTAATAAACTTAAATATTACTATGTTAGTATGTTAAAAAGAAAATTAGAAAACTAAGTAAAGAATTATAAAATATTAAAACAAAAGACTTGTAATGAAATAATCTAGTAAATATAAATTTATAATAGAGTTATAATTTATTTAATATAATTTCAAAGTATTAACAATTAACTATTAAGTAACACCGACAAATCATAAAAATAATTCATCTCTTAGAGCCATTTATTTTATTAATAGAACTTTCAAATCTCAAATACAAATACAATTCTTTTGAAGAGCACCTAATCTACGCAGCCACCTTCTAGGAAGGGTTCTGTTTGAACTAGGTCTCTTAGTAGCCAATTACAAATTATCATACTAATATTTGTAAGCTCCTATATAACTTCTTTGTAACTTATCAATAATATCTCTTGGACATTCTACTGGAATTGGCAATGTTGATTGATNCACTTCATCCTCTCTTTTTTTCTTTTTCTTTTTTTCTTTCTTTTTTTCGTTGTTTTTTTTTTCATTTTTTCCATTTACTCCCAGTTATAATTGGTCCGCCAAATGACCATTTTACCCTCGGATAAATGCAACTTGTAGCACATAGGATGCATCAAGATGGTCTGTTATTTTGGGTACACCTGTCCTAGACGGACCCAACCCCTGTGTTGAGTCCCCTAAGTCAAATGCACATGATGCAGATAAGCGTTCCTACTAGGGATCTGGCATGAGGCTGAGTTATTCTAGGTTTAAAGTCTGGGTTTATTTGTTCTAGACCTGGCTTACCCGAGCAGGCAACTCGAGTCGGGGGGGCTGCGTACCAGTAACCAAAAGATCATCCGTCTTTGCAACTTGTCCGAACCTCGTTCTATTTGGGATATGACACTAACAGAAAGAAGTCACGACCAGCGTGCACTCCTCAGGAGAGAGAGAAGAGAGGGGTTTCATAGCAGTTTATATATACAGTTCAGATTATATCAAAACAATAAAAAGCAACATTTAGCACATTAGGCCCAACATGTAATAAAATCAGATAATAAATAAAGCCAAATACAACAATTATTCCAAGCTCGAATTCTAGAACCCTGAACCAGAAGTTCTGGGTTCTATCCCCAGCAGAGTCCCCAGAGCTGTCACACCTCCTTTTTTCAATACACCCCCCGGAAGAGGTATAATAAAGGGAGTTTTTCCAATTAAAGGACAATCGAAACGGGATTATTTTATTAAGAGATTCAGAGTCGCCACTTGGAAGGTTTATGGTGTCCCAAGTCACCAGTTTCAAATCCCGAACCGAGGAAAGGGTTGACTCTGTATTACAGCCCGCGAACCAGAAATCCGTGTAAGGAATTTTGTTAACCCGGGAGAAGGTGTTAGGCACTCCCGAGTTCCGTGGTTCTAGCACGGTCGCTCAACTGTTATATTCGGCCTAATTATCTCATTTTAAAACATTTTTGAACCTATGTGCCATTTTAACTGTATAGCCGCTTTAATCATTTTTTAAGGAAGATTGAAACGTCATTTAAAATATGTCTTGAACCACGTCACATAAATGCGCCCGCAGTCCGCAACACATTTTATCTAACGTTGAGATTTGGATTTGGGTCACATAAATGCGCACCCGAGTTTAGGAAGGTAAATTATTAAAATAATGCGCCTAAAGAAAACTACGAAGGTTCATATTTACTTCTTAAAACTAATTTGAGATTTTTTACAATTCGACTTGGTAAGGCTTCACAAAACAAAAAGAAAACTGACAAACTATGAGGCACGCTCGCAAACACACACCAGGAATTAGAAATTGTAAACCATAATACCCTAAAGACACCAACATGTTTCAACAATACAACTTTACGAACTTATAAACTGCTAGTGTTATATATAACTTGACAGATTACAGTTGCAAGACTTAAATTATAGTATTACAGTACAAGCTAAGGACGGACTCTTTCTTTTTAATTGCAAAATATAGAGTCGAAGCTCACTGAATCAGAACCTTACAATATAATTGTATTATTGCTAAACTCAAAATCCAATCTTAAAGAGCCTCCTAGTAACCATCATCAATTTTCCTTGCTGCAACACAATGCAAATTTAATTTATCTAAGACTTTTCACACATCAGTACTTCAATAGTTGCTTTACCACCCATAAGCATACTGATATATTTCAAAAAATAAAGCACGTCGTAATAACAAACCCCATTAAGCACATTTATCATGGTAAATATGAAAAGTTCTCACACTAGGCAGAAAAATATAAGATGCAGACAAGCAACATTATCAGAAAAGGGATAGAAAAGTAGTAAAAGATTGAACCTCAAAGTAAAGCCAAAATTTCACTTGTGTTTTGATTAAACTGATGCAAAAATTAGTGTTGCGCGATCTGATATTCGAGAAGCGAACAGGGACGGCTATGAGAACACTGAACTTAGGACCAGAATCACAGCCAACGACTCAGAGCGGAAAACCAACAGAACCAATGGTGAATCTGGAATCGGCAACTGAACGACGACCTCAAACCGTTTCCAACATCTCGGCTCCAAACAACACTTCAAACGAGCTTTAAAAATGGTATCTATGAATCTGAAACTAAAAAAATCGAGATCGAACCAAAGAGAAGAAGCAGAAACTTCTCTATTTTTGGATTAAAATCTGGTTGTTGTAACGGTGTCGCGGCTGGGTGTGAGACGACAATGGGGTGACAATGAGTGTGTGTGTATGTGTTCGCCGGGTCTGCTGCTAGCGGCGTCGCTGGTTAGAGGGGTGGGGTTCTGGCGAAGGCTGGTGAGTTAGGGATATCAGTGAGGGTGGTCGTTTATGGGTTCTGCGGCTGATAGCTTCATGCTTTTTAGGCTTTCTTCATTTTGTTCAAGAAGGAGCAGAATCTTCAGGGGTGAGGTGAAGAAGACGTGAGAGGGGGGATTGAAGAAGACGATGATGAGGGGGGTGGGGTCTTGGTGTATTGCGGCGCTGATTCCTCTCCTCTCTAATTTAGGTCTCTAGGTTTATTTAAGAAGAAGGGTTTGGGTGTTAGGTCGGGTCGGGGTGACCCGGTTTGGGTTGGGTTGGGGGAAAATATTGGGCTTCTAAAATGTGTGGCCCAATTCAATTTAAAACCAGCTTTGTTTCTCAATTTTCATTTCTTTTGTTTTCTTTTCTTTCTTTAATTAATTAAAAACCTAAATTAAATTCCTAAATTAATTCGAATTGTAAAATTAAACTAATTATTTAACTATAAAGTTTATAAAAATTAATTGATCCTAAATTTAAAGAGAAAAATTAATAATCCAAAATTTTAAAGCTAAGAATGTAAAAATGGGCCATTTTTGTGATTTTTATTTTTTAATAAAGCAACTACTAAATAATTAATCCTAAAATGTGAATAAAATCTAAATGCAATGCGTGGTACTTTTGGTATTTTTGATTTTTAATGGAAATTAAATATGCACACTAATGCAAATGATGAATAAAATTCTACGAAAATTCCTATAAAATTGCAAAAAATGGGAAAAATTATTTTATGATATTTTATGGGAATAATTCATATAGGGCAAAAATCACGTGCTTACAATGCTATTTTCGGGGTTAGTAGGGAGGCTAGTGTCGATAGCCACATGTGAATTAGCGTCCAACGGGTCCGCAATTGGAATTCAGACGGGATCAACGGGCAGTAACTCGTTACCGGGCGCTATGTTATTGTTTTCACCGTGGTGACCAAACTCACCATCAGTAGGTAGAGGTGCTAATTATGAGTTTGACATTTTGAGCTTAGGCCTGAAATCAAAGACACTTCAAAG